TCATCTAAATCACCATCCTCCAAATTGAACTCACTCTGGCACCCACTCGCAGTCTTGAAGTACTCTGGGCGGTTCAGCAAGGCTTCCCACCCAAAAAACAGTTGCTTGGAGGTCTGTGAGAGGCAACCAAGTCCACCGGCCCGTGGGTGGAGCAGAGCCAGGTGGCAATCTGTCATGGCGGGCGACAGCGTAATCTGTGACAAAGATGAAGCGCTCTTTTGACGCCACCGTATGATTCCCGATCAGGCGCCGATCCATGCTCACAATTCGGCTTGGATGTGCGTTTCCTAGCACAGAAAGGGAAATTGTCCGAGCTCCGACAGAGTCACCGTAGCTAGTGGAGGTGCGCGCGGTGCGCTTTGTTCGTCCCTGAGCTATGAGCGTGTTTAGAGTGCTGGCATGAGGGTTGACGCCAGCTGTCTGGTCTCCGGTGAGCCCCAACAATTCGTAGAATTCGTGCGCTTCGTCTGCGTTGGTCGCCTGGCCCCACCACAGCCGCGTGGATATCTTCTGCTTGGCAGCACCCACCTGCACCAAAGGCCAATAGGACATCTACATCTAAGCTTGGTATCTCCACTTACCAACCCCTAGATAAAAATGCCTAGCATTGTGACCTAGGCAGTTGATATCTGACAGGTTGTTTAAGTCTGCAAACTTTCGTTGCTAAGTTTTTTCTGGCAAATAGTTGTATGTCGGTGTGTATCCTGGCAGAGGCCACGGCGAAACTTTATTTTAGTGGAACGCAGCGCGTCAGTCCAACGCACACCTGGACCTGCGCGAAGTCGCAAGAGCAACGGTAGAAGAGTTCTGTGGCCGTACATGATTGGATCGATATAGATTTGACCTGCACAGGCACTTGGTTCAACTGCTCAGCGTCTGCTTCAGCGGTCTGCAAAGTCCGCGCGTGCTCTCTGGCCAGCTGTTCCAGCACGTCGTCGGCCACTTCAAAAAGAAGCCCAGTGGCTTGATGGAGCCGTGATTTTCCACGCTGCGCTGGCGCGACGTGAAAGACCAAGAGAACTAAGGGACTTGGCCTTTGAGACCACAAGGGAATCGCTGCCCCGTTCGTGAGCGCACACATGGCGCACGCAAACAGCATGCACGTAACATACATGCCTTGAAAGGTGGCTGCGCTGATTGGTTCTAGGAACGAGCGAATGTTGTCCGGCAAGTGGCTTGGGCCGAAATTATCTTGCACCACCTGCACCGCATTTCTCATCAAAGTCTCAAGTTCTGCCGCTGGAATCTCGTCCGTGTGCTGCTTCGCCATTGGGGATACCTGGGCGCGGAGCAATGTAGCTGAATCTTGGCCTCGGGCCTGCACACAGCACTCCCTGCCTTCCCAAACAACATGTCACCGTGACCGACCAAAACAATCCTATACATGAACAGGCTTTCGTATGGCTAAGTGTTGGAGTCTCACTGAGCTATGAGAGAAAAGTGCTGCCTCCCAGGCTTTTGCGATCAAAAGCGCAACAAGGAGAGATGAGATCGACTGGCGTGATCCCGGTCAGCGGCGGCAACGGCGCGAGAAGTCACAGCGCCAAGCCCGCCCGAGGCTATAGCCAAGAACAGCCGCGCCTGGTGTGACTGCGTGCGTGGTAGGTATATGAAAACAAGAAGACAATGCGCACACATGTTATGAGCCTCCTGTCCGCGTGTAAAAAGAACTGACGTACGACACAGGACCCTGGGCAAGCCTAGTGGCTGCAAGGATGAAGCAGGGACATCGCCAGCGCAGGTGACTCAAAAAAAGTTGGTTGTTGGTACTTCCTCGTGATTTATCGACGCACGTTTGATAACATAGGTGTGAACGGTGTCCAGGCACGTGGCTACATGAACGACCTCAAGTGCACAAACAGCTCCAAACTGAAGGAAGCTTTGCTGCGGTTGCAGGGGTCCCTCAGGAAATGCAATCATTGGACCTAAAACCAATTGCCAAAGTTATGGCCATGCACTCCACTCCGGCACAGCAACCTTGTTGCCGATGGAAATCTCTCCCAAGACTCAAAAATCACAGGAATCCATAATATATATATATATGTGTGTGTGTGTGTAGTCCGCCAGCTCTTTAAATATATCATCTAAAATGAATGAACAGAGGAACCTCGACTTGGTGTATCAGCTTTGTGCTTTAAAGGTCACTGAAAATGATATGCATCAACCCCATGCAGCCAATTCAATGCCCAATGGGACACTGGTCCGATATGAGGAATGGCTTCAAGTTTGGGCCTCGAATGGTTAACACAGTGACAGGTGGTTACTTTGCCACGCGCAAGCTGTTTGATGTTTGAAAACTCTGACACAAAAAAACTTCCGCCCATGGCCATGACCCTTACTTGAATGCTGTTTCCCCTACACTAGCAGGAAAAAGACTTGTGTTCCCTAACGGAAACGCGACGAGCTACCCGATTCCTGCATGCAAACGCACTGATTCGGCAATATTCTTGATGTGTTCTGAAATTCCTTTCGTAGCACAATTGTAACTTAAATCACACAGTTTGCACGGAGGTATCGGAGCGAGTGTGACTGAGAGGGTGAACGAGGTTAGAACTCATGCCAGCAATCGCCACGACTTCCATACATACAAATCCCAATCGAAAGGCTTCAACAATAGAAATATTGGAAAACCGCCACGACTTCAACATTTTTGATTGTACAGGCCACAGGAGATTCTTGTTCCTTCTCCTCCTGCTTGGTCTTCTTCTTATTATTATTATGTGTTTTTATTCTTCTTCTTCTTATTCTTCTGCTTCTTCTTCTTATTCTTCTTCGTTGTCTTCTTCTTTGTCTTTTTCTTCTTATTTGTCTTCTTCATATTTTTCTTCTGCTTTTTCTTTTTCTTCTTCTTCTCCACCCTTTCTTCACTTCATCCTCCTCCTTCGATTCGATATTCGTTCCTGGATGGCCGTCTGGCCGTGGCCGGCTGGCCGTGGCCGGCTAGCCGGAAACAAAAAAAATCATTTGTGTTAGGTTGGAGGCCATCGCTGTTAGGTTGGAGGCCATCGCTATTTGGTTGGAGGCCCCACTGCTATTAGGTTGGAGGCCATCGCTATAAGTGTGGAGGCCATCGCTATTAGGTTGGAGGCCATCGCTATTAGGTTGGAGGCCCCACTGCTATTAGGTTGGAGGCCATCGCTATTAGTTTGGAGGCCATCGCTATCAGGTTGGAGGCCATCGCTATTAGGTTGGAGGCCATCACTATTAGGCTGGAGGCCACCGCTATTAGGTTGGAGGCCATCGCTATTAGGTTGGAGGCCAACGCTATAGGTTGGAGGCCATCACTATTAGGTTGGAGGCCATCGCTATTAGGTTGCAAACCATCGCTATTAGGAGGCCATCGCTAGCAGGTTGGAGCCCATGGCTATTAGGTGGAGGCCATCGCTATTAGGTTGGAGGCCATCGCTATTAGGTTGGAGGCCATCGCTATTAGGTTGGAGGCCATCGCCATAAGGTTGGAGGCCATCGCTATTTGGTTGGAGGCCATCGCCATAAGGTTGGAGGCCATCGCACGTTGGTTGGAGGCCATCGCTATTAGGTTGGAGGCCATCGCCATTAGGTTGGAGGCCATCGCTATTAGGTTGGAGGCCATCGCTATTAG